TTATCACAAGAAATGACGTCCCTATACAATGGATCATCCGATCTCGTCAGAAAGTAGTTACGGAGGCTGCACACTTCACGATTATGCATGGTAAGCGTGCTTAAAAAGCCACGCCTCTCATCTTTCCGCGGGAAGTACAGCCGGGCAATTCATTCTATAGGACATCGTAGTAGTGCGGAATTTTCTATCCAGGGCGTTAAGTTCAGTTTGAGTCCACCTAGGTATGCCAAAGGTATACATGAGTACAGGCATGACCCAACCGTTATATGCGTGTGTCTTATTCACACCGGACAAATAAATATATATATCTACGAGGGTGCCACTCGAGGAAAATTCCACAAAAAGGTCGGCCGATCAAGAAAACTCCTAGTAAATTGTACAATAGTGGACCACCTAGCATACATATGATGGGGATTTGTGAGTTTTGTTGCGATGTGCGTTGGTAAAATGGCGGCTGGAATTAATCAAAACAATGGCTCAAAGCATTCCCCGTAGTAAATACTATAGACAACATTAAAAGGAAGTAACATGTCTTCGTAACGCCCGCGAATTCAGCGAACCAGAAAGAACGTTCGTCAACGATTCGAACCGCGCTGCACTGTATGCGGTCAATAGGAAGGAGCTGACAGTGTGGTCCAGGAAACCCAGAGATGAGAAGCCCAGAGACTAAAGTCGACTGTCTTTTAACACTAAGTATAATGTATACAACATCAGGACTGATACAGATCAAAAGATTACGTGAGGTACACTAGAATATAAATAAATAAACAACAAATGGCTAGATATTACTCGAGTTAGGTTAAGGAAGTAGCTTTAAATCAAATTGAGGTTATCAGTAAACCTCGTAGCAAGTCTCAACACACACACACACACACACACACACACACACACACACACATACACACACACACACACACACACACACACACACACACACACACACGCACACACACACGCGCACACGCACGCACGCACGCACGCACGTACGCACGCACACGCAACGCACGCACGCACGCACGCAAGCACGCACGCACGCCGCGCACGCACGCGCGCACGCACGCACGCACGCACGCACGCGCACGCACGCACGCACGCACGCACGCACGCACCAACGCACGCACGCACGCACGCAAATGCTACTAATAGACATTTCCTCGCGATTGTGTATGTAAAGATTTTTGTGAGATGTTGACTTTGTATGAGATATTAACTATAAATTATATTATTTTAAAATTTTTGCATGATATGTTATCACAATCGAAATAAAAAAAATCAAAAATTCACAAAATCATGTTACCACTTTTCGCAGGTTTCATTCAATAAAACAAGAAAAACTTATGTGGTAATTATTTAAACATTTTGAATTTATTGACCGTTATTTGTAGGGAATATAACTATGTTGACTCGAATTGTATCTGTTTCAGATCGTTTGTTTGGGTTAAGTTTTCATCATGAGAATTTTGCTAATTAAAGTTTACATTATTAGTCTATGAAGAGTATTTTTTATTAGAAATTATTTTTGTCGACTTATAATAATGAAAAAAATGACTATTGTGAAAGACCGGATTATATGCAACAAAAAAGCCCAGAAATATGCATGCAAATATGCATGCATTCCCACATGACAGAGCCATGCTTTAGTTATATTAGTATTATATTTGTAGAACGAATGGGTTGGCTCGACCGGGGAAGGGTCACGCTCTAACAGGATCGTAAAATAGTAGCTTAATGCTGCTGTGTTTCGTATGGTGAGTGTAGAGAACCGGAGACCCTTTTTACTGGAAACGGGGTATTCCATCTTAGTCCTCACGGGTGACAATGCATGTGCATTTGGATTCATAATCGAAGATAGATGTAGATGTCTATGGGCTACAGCAACCACTTACCATCAGGTCACTGTGTGCTCGTTTGTCACCCTACCCTATAAAAAAATGCAAGAAAAATGCCAAGCTCAAATACGCATGAAAATCCATAAAAAGAGCCAAAGTAATGTAAGATGAAATAATAAAAAAGCAGTATTTTAAAAGTTTTATTACATTGAAAAGCTATTATTTCTCAAAGATAACAATCGTATTTGTGAAAACATTAGGTACAAAATAATTTAACAAAGAAATTTACAGTTTAAAACTGTATATGACTAAGTACTGTTCCAAATTTTCTGTCTACAAACTGTGCCTACAATCGCTTAACACTTTTTTGTACACAGAAAACAACCATTCTACGTCCACTGAGGTGACTGTATAGAATCTAAATTTGGAAGCCGTATGTGGATTTTTTATCCCAGGCAATTCTTCTTCAGGGTTCAAACGCTGGATTAGCTCAGTATGTTTTGAAACTTTTCTTTGAGTTTGCTCGAGAATGGCTCTGGCAACGAGAAGTTGGCTCTGAACGAAAAACGAAAGAAAGGAGACAATTTTTCTTCATAAGCTGAATGAATGCATTCGAAGTCAATTCATGAGTTTCGAGTGTTTTGATACTCGCAGGTATGTGGGCGAAATGAGTCCTTATCACAGCTATAGGAGATCGAGCGAAATATACGTGACTTCAAAACCGCTGAAAAGGGGCTAAATATGCAAATACATTTGCAATATTCAAATGCATATACTCGTAATCCGGTCTGTAATTATTATCTATATAATCATTTCGTTTATATCAAAAAAAAAATATAAATATCAGTTTTATAAAATTTTATCACTTTGATTTTCAACATAATTACTTTCATCTATTTTATGTACTATGTAATATTAATATTTTAGGAAGATAAATTGAAACGATAGCATGCATTCAACTGTTTATTTTAACCTACCTCTGTTGCAACAAAATATAATCTAATCTGCATTGACCCACATCTGAGCGTGACGGCATAGTAAAAACAGAATATTTGGATAACTTCCGCCCCAGCGAGACTTAAGTGCCTACTGTTGTAGGGTTGTCACTGTCTTTTTGTTAAACGGATAGACTCATTTAGTTTTATAAATAGTTATAATATTTACAAACATAATACATAAGGATACGTACCTGTGCATTATATTTATTATTCATTTCCTTAGTTTCGTCTCAAAGAATAAAAGTTTATCAAAAAAAAATATTACACCTTTAGATTAAAAAATGCCAAATATCTAAAATACGAGTAAATTTACACTGAGCGTATGGTGTCAGCTCAAATTTAATGTTTAAAATTAATTCGATGTGATATGATAATTAATGTACCTACTTATGAGGTATGTATCTATGTCTAGATATAGTAATATAACCTATTAATAAAAAGCTAATTTACTAAAATAAGCGCATATATCAATTTTTTTCTGAAAATAGAAAATAAACGAAAAAAAAAGACTCAACAAAGTCTCAAACAAAGGTGATTGCGGGGCGCGGGGGTGGGCGTCCCCAACTCGGCACGATATTCTCAACTTGGCAAATGTCGTGTGCGTGTTGTGGCTCGAGCTTACGAATCTCTACTGTCACGTGCCGGGCATGCACACATATTAGTGGTTAGGTACATTTCTTAGAAGATACCTAGTATTCCTAGTATTCTGTTTTTACTATGGTGACAGTCACGCGAGTTTGGTGCTTTTACCACACGAGTAGATAAATGGAGCAGAGATAAAGCTTCATACAATCACGCGAATCAGTTGTACTACTACAAGCACGTGGGGTATGTGTGTGTGATCACTGGCCGCTTTTCGCATACATGTTGAGACGGGAAAAGGCCGGTTACGCTGGCGCAGCCAGTTGACAAATCTCAGGGTCAGTGCGACAACATTGTTTGGTTCGTTAGTCGCAAGTTTGAATATTTAAATGTAAAAACGTGGTATTATTAATAATGGTTCTCTATTGTACTGTGTGTATGAATAATTCTTGAAAAAATAAAAATATATCATAATTTAACAATCCCAAGGAGTACAATAGGCAAGTTAATTTTTGATTATTAATTTTTCAAGTAAGTACCTTTATTTTATTGTTCCTCCTTCCTTTCCTTCCATCCTTTTTTAAATAAGAAGAGGGTAATACACGGTGCGTTTTTACCTTTTAGGTATGTGAGTGGGTTGTTATGTAGTAGGTGCGCGTTTGAAGTTCACATATTGCAAGTAAGATTTAAACCACTTCCCGATGTCTGATTAAGTTGAAATTTTGTATACGGTAACTTTAGTAACAATTCAATAATATGATACATATAGCCTGGTGCTGCAGCTAAGGATTGTTTCCTCATTAGGGAACTCTTCAAATGGTTGTAGTAGGGTCACGAAATTTTGTATGTTGGTTTAATTTTGATAGCCTAACACGATTTTTAACATGAACTACTGCTGCAGCCAGCATTGTCTCCTTACGAGGAAACACTTTAATGGTTAATAGCATGGACTCTAAACTTTGTATTAAAATTTAATTTTGTTTGCTAAATATGATATTCATCCAAATTTGCTGCTGCAGACAGGATAGTCTCCCCAAGAAGAAACTCCTCAAAAGCTATAGTAAACTTTATGTTAGATTCAGAATTCACCACACCATTAAAGGAACAGATAAATTATTAAAAAACAAAAGTTATAAAAGGGAAATCATTAGAGTAAGTAATTTGTAAAATATTACATCATACTGAATAATAAAACTATTTAACAAATTATTGGTTAATTTGTCTTCACGTATTGTGACAACCCTACCAAAAAAGGTAACAATTTTGTCCGTTCTTAAGAAGCTTTTGATACGTTTGTATAATCATGTGACTTTTACCCCGTCTCAAAAGTGCCCAACGTGCTTAAAGCACAAACTAACTAGAAAAACTCAGCCTAACGAAGTTTTCCCTTCGAAAATAATATTTCATAAGAAATCGTCTATGTATTACCGTCTACTATAAAATAAAAAAAAACAAAAGAATTTTTTTGCGACTACCGTCAATCAGCCTTTTGCATTTTCAATTTTTAATACTGATCGTAGTTGATCGTTGATCTTGAGCTTACGATAGTGTTTTACCAAAAAATATAAAAAGTATAAGTTTTATAAGTAAAATGGAGATCGATGATATTAAAAAAGTTGTGAATAGAAAAAGAACCTATACAGAGGTTGAAAATCTAAGAGAAAAAGTTGCATGGAAAAACTCTAAAGTTATTAAGTTGAAGGTAACGCCTAATATTTTATGAAACATATGTAGTAGTTATTTGCACGTTTTTTTCTCTTTTTTTTCTTTTAAAGTTTCTTTTCGTTATAACTTAACCGACTTTTGTTTTTAATTTACACTATTTCGGTCGGTGTTATAATGTTTATGGTAGCCCTACATTGTACAAGTACAAGTATTATTTTTTAAAAAGAGGCTGACAGTTAAGCATTATTATAATAGTGCCTTAAAGAGTTAACCAGACGCACATCATACATCGTTTCGTATTCTCGATACATAACCGTACATTCGGATAAAGAATTAGGGCTACATACATACATCTAAACCATAAGAACCACAATAGGGTTGTTGTTGGATATACATACTGATAGTTGATCAAGGCTTACCAGAAACATTATGTGGGGTCACCGAGCGGATTTAGGGTAGGGAAAGGGGAACTTGGATTAATGTTCCGAGATCACCAAAAAAGAGGAACTTCCCTATTAAGTTTTTTTGTTGCTGAGGTTCACTAACGAAGATATGCAAAATATAAAAAATGATTGAATTGTTACGAATGGTTTCATGTTTAAATAAGATTAGTTTTCTTTTAAAAGCCGTTTTGCAATAAATAAGGTGCATAAAAAATCCATTTTTTTAAAACAAAATACCAGTTCAACTATTTGAACTGTTTATAGATTTCTTCACTTTACGTCATCCAAAGTTGCTATACGAATAGTTTGTATTATAAAAACTCTTAACATGCACTTCTCTGTGTAATAAAACGAACGAAACGTTCGTCACGGAGAACGAAACGTTTTTTGAATATAGGAATTGGACATTAATATGGAATGACTTAATTATCATTTAACAGTGCGAGTATACACTCTTTCAATTAATTATAACACCAAATCGTTTCAATTACCACAAGGGTATCTTATTTATTAATGTATCTTACATTAAAAAGAAAATACAGCGGACATGACGTGACAACCTCCTCCTTTTGTGAAATTGGTTGATATAATAAAGCCATTGCAAAATATACGCATAAGCATACGCATGTTGTCTATTCAATCCAATTATCCAGACCATACCTAATGTCCCTCAGACCAAAGTTTGGTCACAGCGTTTAGTTTTGGAGACTAACCATCTGCGTGGGACAGGATTATAGTGCACGAATATGTGCGCAAACATAGGTGCACTCTATTCCCTAAGCCTCATACTCTAATTCTGAGAGAGTTACGGAGCATATAGTCCATCACGCTGCTCCAGTGCGTGTTGGCGAACTTCACAAGTCGTTGCAATATTTATTTCACAGATATGCTAAAACTGAGCATGTTAAAAAGTACTTTAAATTTCTATACAGTTTTATTGTTGCCTGTAGCAAATAAATCTGGTGTCTGAGCCACCACGGCTTACTCTGCCGGAAAAAAAGATGTTACACTCTTAAGCATCTGTTTGCTAAATGTTGGTTACAGGTGTGTACGGGCTACGATTGTTATTTACCGTTTAGTGTACTGTTTACGAACAGTTAAAATTTATTTTATTATTTAGATACTTATCTATCCGGCATGCGTTGCAAATTGCAATGTCTATTTTTGTCAGAAAACTTCGAGGGCACTTCATTGTAATTAAGTGAATGTTATAAGAACACTTAGAAGGCGAATAAACAAACAAACAGATATTAATTTTATATATTAACATCTGTTTCTGGCACGCGTTGCAATACCGTTTTTTTTGTCTAAAACCTTAGCGGACGTGCGCGCTTTTTATTAGATGATTATATTATATTACACTGGTCGATACTCGCACTCGATACTGGGCGTACGAAAATAGACTATAATAACATAGCTATAAAAATATTATTATTAGTTAGGTCCGTTCACAAAGAACGGCTATATTGCGAAGTGAGTAACTTTATTAAATTTCAAGTCAATTCGGGTTTTCAATTTCGGGTGCATAGTTATAGAGATATATAGATGAGACATAGAGCCAGTCAGTGGTATGAAATATGGGTTTAGTCCAAAGTTCGACCATAAATTTAAGTCATGATAGTGTTGTGACAATTCTAATGTTATTAAAACATAATAGGTTGCTCAAGACACAGCATGCTGGAACTTAAAAGAGAAGGTGCAGCAGGTTGAGAAGCAACACGAAGTCAGCTCCGGCCAATATAAGGATGAATTGAAACTGCGATCGGAGAACCTCAAAAAGTAAATTTTATCTTTTGTCCCAATATAAATTAAATGAATTTTATTAAAACATTTTGGTAATTTTTTAATTCGACTGCGCGTACAAACGGAGATTAATCATTGGTTGGTATTTGTATGTACCTATGTTTACCTAAATTCTTATACATGTTGTGATTATTCATCTCATCCATTTACGTCATCCTGTAGTTACTAGAGCGCATAAATAATATCTGCACACTGGGTCCAACCAGATTGAGTAGCACCCGGGAGGTCTACATAGAGCATCTGAAGGAAACTCTCGGCCAAAACGCTCTCTACGACGCCTATCAGAAATATGAACAACTCGTCCGAGATGTTATGTTCAAGCAGCAACAAGCTGACGAAAAAAGAAAGCAACTTATTGAGAGTCTGCAAGACAAAGGTAAGTGAAATACGGGTACAGATTAGTAAGCTGAAGTGCCAATGGGCCTTATAGTACGAAGAACCGACAATGGATGGGGAAGAAAGGTTCTCGAGTGTCAGTTTCGTAAGGCGACCCTCCACTAGATGGAGTGACGACCTGGTAAGGCGCGCAGGAAGTCGATGGATGCAGGTGGGCAGGGCTGTGTGTTGTGGTGTTCCTTGGGGGAGTCCTATGTTCAGCAGTGGACTTATAATAGGCTGTAATAATGATAAAATTAAAAATATTGGGATTAAAAAGTTCTACCAGCCTAAGCCCAAGTCCCGTGCTGTGCCTAAAACCCCATTGCTAATTATAAGTAAACGATTTAAAAAGTTTAAGCTTAGCACATTGTGGAATAATTTCGCCATTAGTTGGTAGTCAGAGCCACGTCTCTCGGTAGCATAGTGCAATCTCGCTATGTGTTGTGTACTAGAATCTTTAAATCTTCTGTATGGAGGTGTTTGACAGGGGTTGGCACTAAAATGGAATTAAAATGATTTTGGATATTATAAAACAATGAGTATCATTTATTAACATCATTTACATATACATATGAGTAAAAAACATATATTGAACAAGATAATTTTTAATTACTACAAGGAAGAACACATTTACAACTATTGCACTGCCAAATGTTTCCGTGACACTTTCTTTTTATAGACGTTTTTAGTTTTCAATTGTTAAATTTAATTATGTAATATATTCGCATTTGGAAAAACAATTTAATCAACAAAAAATAGGGAAAACATAAGCATGGCCTCATTTGAATTCAATTTTACTTAGTAACTCCTATAACTATAACAGTGATTATCCATTCTAGATATTATACTTTTCGAAAATGGCACTTAAAATTAGTTACATAAGTACTATAAAACACACTCGCTCCAACCGTATGTCCTCAGTATTATCTATCAGGCTCAGTGAAGTGCGCTAGCATAAAATGGGCCCCGTCCCCTACCCCGCAGTACCCCCACCATTGCTCTGCATAGGGACATTCGTTTCCCAACTGTAAGGTCTTTAAACTGTGACCGCTTCTACTTACCGTCAGGTGAACTGAGTGTTCGTTTTTCACCCTAAAAAAAATCATTATTGTATTCCATCTTAGTCCTCAGGGGAGACAACGGGTTTGCATTTTAGTTTTGAATTAAGAATAGGTGTCAATTGAATAAAATTATATTTACGGATTTTATCGATTTTAGGTAACTATTTTAACTTATTTTGAATTCCCGACTTTTCGGGTGACTAACAGTACCCAAGTTATGGAGAGACTTAGATGTTTTACGTCATAATGTCATAGTTAGCTCGGCTAACCTCAGTTTTTGAATATTAATTTTTGGTCCGATCTACGCACAACGAGCTTACAGCATCTTGAAGTCTTGCAGTGGTATGCTTGGGCTTAGTTTTAATTTTGTTAATTATAGGATCCCAAGCAGATGGCAGCACCTATCCATCTTGTCTATTAAAATTAGGATTTAATTTCAATAGCCTCGCGTATCATCCTTGGTAGGAATCGGTGTTCTTTTGCGAGGATTTGAAGTTTATCAAATCTGATGTAATGGTGAGGACGATCTTGAACATGTTCACAGACTGCAGACTTGCCAGAGCGTCGGTTCTTCACGTCAGCTATTTGTTCTTTCACGCTGGTTTACATAGATCTTTTTGTTTGACTTAAGTAAGAGAGACCACATTCACAATCTAGCTTGTACACTACTGCATCTTGTAGGGAAATATTATATTTGATGGATGGTAAAAATTGACTAATGTTCTTTGGCTGGTCCTTTTCGTACGGCCACGGGACCCGAAGCTTGTCTTGCAATACTTGCTTGACGTACGTTGAAGCTCGGCAGCCAGACGTTTTCTATCACAGACTCGTGCTCTCTGAAATAAAGATTTACCCTTGATAGCTGTTAACTCATAAGGATGATGGTGAGATTCACCATTTAAATATCGATTGATATGGGTCTTTTTCCTATACACAGTGTGACTTATTAATCACACAGTGTGTAGGAAAAATAGTGTAATCAGGATTTCGGATGACTAAAACATTTAGGATAGCTGAAAATGTTTTGCCTCTAACTCCATTGTGAATTGTATTTTAGAGTTTATGGAGTTAAGGTAGTCTAAAGAGGTAGTTTATTTGTCAGATGGTAAAATTGTGAAAGTATCGTCTACGTACCGCTTGTAGAATCTTGGATTTACAGTAGCAATAAGAAGAGCTTTCTCCTCAAAGTGTTCCCTGAATATGTCGGTGACTATGGGAGACACAAGTGAGCCCATTGCCACACCATATAGAACAGGAAGTATTCAAAAAATATTACATATTCTTCAGGCATGTTGTGTGTGGATATTTTGGTCTAGCTTTGTATTTACAATTGAGATGCAGTCATCAATAGATAGGCATGTAAATAGTGACTGGACATCAAAACTGACCATAGCTTCATTGTCAGCGAGATGTAGGTCTTTTATCTCACTAAGAAAATATAGATATGAATCCTTTGTGTGTGCTCTGATATATCATCTCAGTGGTGACAGTATTTTTGCCAAGTGTTGTACCAGCTTATAAGTCGGTGAATCGATCTGGCTCACCATAGAACGTAGTGGAGCGTTTGTTTTGTGTATCTTCGGTAACTCACACAACCTCGGTGGTTTGGTACAGTGTGATTTAATGGTATTAGCGAATTCACGTCACGATTTAATTTTCCGGAGTTTTTCTTTATCTAACGTGGTAGAGCCATGCTGCAGTTATATTAGTAGTATAGTTGCAGCACGAATGGGTCGGCTCGACCGGGGAAGGACCACGCTCTCACAGAATACCAGCGTGAAATAGTAGCTTAATGCTGCTGTATTTCGTATGGTGAGTGTAGAGAACCGGAGACCCTTTTTACTGGAAAAGAGGCATTCCATCTTAGTCCTAACAGGTGACAACGCGTCTGCATTTTGATTTGTAATCGAGGATAGATGTAGATGTCTATGGGCCGCAGCAACCACTTACCATCAGGTGGACTTTGTGCTCGTTTGTCACCCTATCCTATAAAAAAAATTAAATCGCTAGTTAGTTGAAGCATGTTAATTGTGGGGTCTATTTTTACCTTTTTATATGTACTTTCGTCCGATAAAAGTTGTTGTATTTTAAAATTATACTCTGACGTGTCCATTATTGCCGTAGCATTTCCTTCATCCGCGTGGATAATCATGAGCTCTGGTCTTTTCCGTAAGTTATTCAGCGCTGTAAATTTATCTTTAGGAATGTTTGGTTTCGGCACTGAACTACGACGTAACAAGGATGAAATATCTTGACGTATGGTCTCCAAATCTTCCATAACGATATTATTCTTAAACAGACAATCCTCAACACTTCAGTTAATTTCTTCGTACGGGAATTTTGCGGTATTAATGCGAAGTTTACTCCCTTTTCTCATACTTTTTTTCTCGGTTCGTCCAGTGTATGTTTTGACAGATTATAGACCGTGTATTGTTTATTATTTGCATCTATGATTAACGGTTGTGTTTCGTTCTGACGTTGACTTAGATGTTGGACATTTGATTTGTTCGTTAATTTTTGATATTTTTCTATTTGTTTAGTTTGTATTTATTGTCTTTCGAGTCGATGTTTCTCGTTTATTTAAAGAAATTGGAGAAATTGTCTCTGGTATTATAGTATTATTAAATGTGGATCGAATAACTTTTTACTTGCCTGATTTAAGATCTTAGCGCTTCCTCGAATGTCCTTTTCTGTAGATATTTTGACGAACGTAGAAATGAGACTATGGTCTCTGCATCTCTGCAAGAAATTCAAAGATGTTATATATCTTGCGCGCTTGGTTTTAAGATCTTCTAATCGGCGAATTTTATTTGCTATTACCAGTCCGTCCTAGTTCACATAATAATTTCTTAAATTTACGAAGCATTTATAAAGCACCAATGCTCCAGGAAGACTGCAGTCTATAAACAAGTTCAAGATCGTCCCCACTATATCATCAGATTTGATAAACCACAAATCCTCGCAAAAGAATACTGATTTCTACCAAGGATGATACGCGAGGCTATTGAAATTAAAATACATCCTAATTTCAATAGAAAAGATGGATAGGTGCTTTCATCTACTTGGGATCCTATAATTAACAAAATTAAAGCCAAATCTAAGCATACCACTGCAAGACTTCAAGATACTTTGAGTTCGTTCTGCGTAGATCGTACCAAAAATTAATATTCAAAAACAGAAGACAGCCGGGCTAACAATGACATTGGGACATCAAATATCTCAGCCCCCGTGACCATGGGTGCTGTAAAACACCGTTGGGAATTAAAAATAAGTTAAAATAATTAATTAAACGCGAAAAAATCCGTGAATATAGTTTTATTTAATGTGTATTGTTCGCGTAAATTTAGAAAATCATTAATAGGTGTTAATACTTATGAGCCAAATTATAAGTTTACCATTAGAATCTCAGAAGGACTGTGTGCTCGCTTGTCACCCTTATTCTATAAAAAAAATCGAACCCGAGAATGCGCAATCAGTTGCGTAGAAAACCACATAATCGTAAGTCGGTGTGCCTTTCAGTGAGCATCTCAAGCAACCACCAGAGCCAACTGCTGCAGTTCTTCACGGCAGCGAAGCAGCAAACCAAAACAGAGCTGAGCGATTTGAAAGCTAGGCTAACGGTTGTACAGACTCAGAAGGACGAGCTCCTCGCTTCTGTTGCCGAGCTGAACAGAAGTATAGATAACTATAAATACGATTTAATAAAGGTAAGAATTTTGAGAAGATTTTTGCTTGTCAAAGATAATTATGATGATAATACTGCATTTAATGGTAAGTAGTTTTATGAGTCTATGTCAACCAGCCAATTCCAATAAGGAAGACCAAGAACCGCCATTCATCAGAACAGGAATATATTGACTTATAGACTGTACATTCTGGATGTCTAACCTGGTTCAACAAAAAGCTTATTCTGCCTGGCACCAAAATAGTCATTCATGATACATATATTATTATACAAAGGCATTCAATATTTTTATTTTAAGCCATCATACCTTTTTAAATTCTATAAATCATATGTGTTTATATACTATCTGCACTCACTACAGAATGAACGTTTCATTTAAGCCAAATAGTTTCTTCCTTATCTAGTAAACCTGCCTTTGTTAACAGTCCACTGATAAACGTGGATTCTTCCTTAGCAAAGATTTGTCTAGAAGGTATAGAGTAGCCTTCACGAGATTTCAATTTAATTTTAATGACAGTCTAGAAGCTTCTAGTCTGTAGTCTCTGCTTACCATATAACAAAAACCCAGGGATTCCCGTTAAGTGTGTTATCAGAATCAGTATCCAAGCGTGGACAAATATTTAAAAAAAAAACACATTTAAAAATATTACTTTTAATGAAAAAAAATTAATTTGCAAATTGTATGTGGTTTTATTTCCTCTAACTCACACGAGTATTGGTACTGCGGGGTCTTTGACACTCCTCTTACTCCTCAGCTAATGCAGAGATAATAAAACCTCGTAAATTGCGAATAATTTTTTTTTTATTTTTTTTTCATTAAATTGTGTTTTTTTTCTGAAAAAAAAATTTTTCTATATGCTTGGATACTGACTCCGATAACGCAGTTAACGGGAACCACAGTGTTTTTGTTACATGTTGTATAGACATGAGAGCATAATATGTTATATTATGTTCCTATTTATTTATAATGACGGCTCCTTAGCGCAATGGCTTAGCATTTAATGGCTGCGCTGGAACCCGCGGATTCAAATCCCGAATGGAACAAGTATTTGTATGGCCTACAAATAACTGTTCCGGGTCTTCCTTCCTTGTGCAATTCATGTATGTAAACTGCCTCCAGGTTGCAGGAGAAAATCCTAGTGAAACGTTTTTCTTAAATTTTCTCATGGATCCCTTACATTACTCCCCGTGCGGTTAAACAATGGGGTTAAATATAGCGTCGCCTTTTTTCATCTCTCGCTCGCGGACTGTAGCCCGCACACCCGTCGGTAAATACTGCAAAATAATACGTTTCGATAAGCATTTTTTGTACAAAGTGCCATAAACTACAAAAAAATTGGTTGACCCTGCAGGCCATCCCTGGAACTTTCCGCTAATTTCAAAGTTAAAGCGCTCCAAATTTCACCAAATTATGTTGCGAATTCTCGAAGTCGACACACACACACAAACAACAAAAAAAACCCACGCAAAAAAAACACACACACACACTACACACAAACACAAAAAACAAAAAAAAAAAAAAAAAAAAAAAAAAAAAAAAACCCACACGCGCGCGCGAGCACGCACGCACGCACGCACGCACGCACGCACACGCACACGCACACGCACACGCACCACGCACGCACGCACGCACGCACGACGCACCACGCACACGCGGCGACCACACACACACACACACACACACATCCGTACGGACATCCACGTCAAATTGGTCAGAATAGCTTTCTGGGATCTCAAAACGTCGAGATCTGATGAAAACTCGATTTTTTAACATCGGGGTGAAACCAATTACTTCCCTATATTTGAAAATTTTCAATTTTCTTAGCGGGAAGTTAAATATCATAGACAGTTTTCATAATTATTGTTGATTTTGTTCGTTAATATTTTGGAATAAAATATTTACATGTGATTAGGATATAAGTAACCTTTTATAAAATGTTCGTTTGTCTGTCTGTCCGAGCTAATCCTAAATAGAAAGAAATGCCAAGAGTATTCTAGATTAAATTTTATCCCAAAATTGAAAACATTTTTTTTAAATATATCTTAATTCTAAATAATGTCATATTAGTGGATCCCAGCATAAGCGAGTTTTCGCTTTGATTATTATACAAGTTGACGGTACGTGCTTGAGGAGCCTCCATTTCTTTATCCGTACAAACTGTGCTATCGGCCTTTCATTACACAATTACATGTAGATTAATACAATTTCTGTAGTGTAGTTAGTAGCACGTTTACATTTCTTCTGACTAATCTGGGGGTACAAAATAATTCTCGGGACATGATTTCAATAGCGGAATTATTAAACATATAAGGTTTTAATTGAATAGCTCCTACATTGGATTTCATTGACACCTTAAAAACCACGATTTCGTTACTTACTCACTCTTTGATGATCATCAAAATTCTTAGGGTAATTCCTAAAGTTCTAAAAAGCTTAAATATGATATTGAAGCTACTATTAGTACACAAATAACAAAAAAGAAAACTAAAACTCGGAACTAATAATAAACTGATAATAAAATACATATTTCACAGTTTGAAGTATTTTTCAAGTGCGAGCGGCAATTTTGGAATTTTGGCAAATTTGGATTGATGGATCGAGACGTAACTTTACGCCGTCGCTATCGAAAAAGTTTTTACATAGATTTTTACAGTGAGAAAGAGTGAGGTAGAGTGAGGAAGAGTGAGAATAATTGTTGAAGAGTTAATTTTATTTCGTTTTATGTGAACGATGTATAATTATGGCAGGACGTATTTTTTTCGCTTGGAGGATGTTTGCAGCCGCTAAGTCATAAATAAGTAATAATTATAGATGACTGCTATTATTACGCCAGTGTTGAAGTAAGAGCTTATGCATATTTTAATCCATTGTTTCATCCCGACGACAGGCCATTTAAGGATAGATATAGCATTTTCTGTTAAAGTGTTCAAGTTTTGTGTAAATAGCGTTTGATAAATCTAAGGTCTACCATTACTATTCCATAATTAAATCAATTCCTCTTAAATTTTTCATACATACTATTTGATGGCTTGCATTAGACGATGCTTTGCTGAGGCCTCCATGCCGAAAATCCAATAAATTCTAGTCCGTGAAACCTAATTACAAAAACACATACATCAAACTTCACTTTACACTAAATAACTATTCCATTTACCTACTGCTCCAAAAATGTCACCATAAAAGCATATTAGAACGAACACATCTTCATGTTATTTGCTTTTAATTTAATCGTTAAATTATAAACAATTAAATATCTAATTCACAATCTCAATGTACTAACACAAACTCTTGAGTGTCGAAACCTTGATCAAATTACAAAATGTAAACAAATAGGTAATAAAGATATATAACCACAAATTTTATAGACAGATGTTAATATTAAGACCACTAAATAAAAATGTCATTATGAATTTGATTAGTTTATATCACGAAGCGAACATGCTACCAACTAATCGAAAGGTTAGCTTCGATTGTAACTCACACTCGCTCGTCTTCGCTTGTCGATACCGAAGACGTTAACTCGATTAACGTGATGGTGAAGTCATTCGATTAATTTTGTGGAACTCGCACTAGGAACCCTGATCTATCGCTTATTATAAACAGTAATCGAACTAAGAAAAGGCAAAGATAGAGAGTGGGCTACGAGAAAAGTCACCTCTGATGTGATAGAATTTCAAACCAAAAACAAGAAATAAAACATGAAAAAAATGTTGTCATAAGCTCATAAGCAACTTACAAAAAGAAGTGAAATCCCAACAAAAATATTTTCATGTAAAATGTTTCCAAGACGAGACCATATAACTTCGCTATGTATAAATGGGACAGGAAAGAAGAGAAACCAAGTTACTATTCATGCTGTCCCATTACGAGGCTGAAATAAAGAGACAGGGGCAGCATCGCCAAAAGCAGTAGTCCACCTCAACAGCCGTCGTCATCTACAGCATCGGCAGCCGGTAGTAACGAAACGACCACGCCACATATTTTGACCAATGTATTGAGTTTGTGAAGTTAGGGCTTGTAGAGTTAGAAGCTTGGTTCTACATGAGATCTGATAACTTTTTGCGAGGCGATGATTGCGAGCCATATGGTCTAGTCTTGGCAACATTTTAAAGAAAATGTTTTTGGTGAGATGTCTTTTTTCCCCTTATTCTTCTTATTACTTTTTACAGAGGGATAAAATGATTGAAAACCTACAAGAGGAAATGAAAAGAAACATAGAAGAGTACAACCGTCACTGTTCTGAAGCACGCAAAATCATTGCTCAATTGGAGGGAGAGTGAGTTATTAGTTTTAATTATATTATTTTAATTACGAATTTATTTTAATAATAATTTAAAAAGGCTTTTATTCCGTTGGTTTTAATGTAAAAAATTACTTTCCAATGTACTCGTAAATTACCATGTAGTGGCAGTGTAAGAATATCCACATATCATCCCGTGAGTGTCGTAAGAGGCGACAGAGAGAAGCAAATCAGATGGACAGCAGATTCTTCATAATAAAGACTAAAAACAAACTGCGGTTGTTAACCGGCTTGCTAGACGTGGCAAATACAATATAAGACAATCTATGTCTATGTGTTCTCAGCAGTGGACTTTAATAGGTTGTAACGGTAACGGTATACTCGTAAAAACATTTCCTAAGTTCCTTATACTTGCGTCATTCCTTGGTGGAATCCTATGTCCAGCAAGATTTGTGAAATGCTGTTATGTTGATAATGATGATTAGTTCTCAAACAAAACCTATACAGACCTTGACCCCTAAGAGCATTGCGAATGAAATATAAAAGAAAATATTTTTGTTAAAAGCAACATATGTACTTAGGTTTTCTTTAAGCAAGTGCTTATAAAGTCAACATTATAATAGTCTATTCTACAGTTGTTTCACAGCGTAATAAATATTTAGCATTGTTAGTGTCGTAAATTGCGTCTCTAGAGAATACTGGAGTCTCATGCCCTCATATAGATGACAGTATCTTCATCTCATATGGTCCCGAGACCTCTGGTATTGCAATTGTCTACCCCACTATCAAACGTAACGATTGCGAATGCTCTCCACAATGGGAGACTCCACGTTCAGTACCAGTCTGCAATAATGTAGGTTGATGTAGATGAAAATAATGAATCGATTGCAACATAAACAAATCCAGTGAGTTAGAAACTGATACTCGATAGAAATGAATAGCCTACTGTAATTTGACTTTAAATAAGTTTCTCAAAGGAAAAGAGGCTAGCGACAAAAGGGCTGATTCTTTTCTCGCTTAACATCTAGGTGTGATTCATGCATTGAGGAAACTAAGCCAATGTTCTTGGCTATACCGCGGGGAGGAGGACTGTATCGTATGAAAATTTTAGTTCTTATTAATACTACAATGAATATTGTCTTTTGTTATGTTATGTAAGTAAAACCTATCCTTGGTGCAGGCATCGGAAGTGGAGCGTCAGATTGCAGCGCTATCTCGCGGTGAACGCGTGGCGCCCAAACCTTTAGCTGCCTTAAGTCACGTTCTCGTTTTCCGCCGTTATAAGTACGTTATAGATCTCTATTTTTTTTCTTATTTGAGTGATACCAAAGAATGCCACGCCACAACATATGAGGTCCAGCCATACATACATTACTTTTAGGGTGAAAGTAATAAAAATATTAGATAATATACAGGGTTATTTTTCAAAGAGTAGCCAAATTTTAAACTTAATTTCAAAGTATAAATTATGATTCATTACGTATACCGTTATTCCAGATTTAGAAAATATGAGTAAATAAGGCTTCTTATATTTAAAGTAGTCCCAAATTGAATGTGATTTAACGGCAAAAACTTTTTTGTCTACCGATGGACCCTTAAGAATATGTGCGTGCGCAATAAAATCAGTTAAAATAATGTATTACCTCGCATTTTGAATTTAAAAGATAAAAAGGACAGAATTATTTAGATTTTTCTTTGAAAATGGTCAAATGGTGAAGAAAGATTATTCTTCACCATTTGCCTAAATTACTTACTCTCAACCTTCTTTGAAATTTGGCGGGTTATTACAAAATAACTATGTATATAAAATTTCTTGTTTGGTCCATCAAGCTAGAGAGGATATGTGCAAATTTTGACAAAATTACTATAGTAAATATATCAGCAGATTTTGTAGAATAAATAATTTTTTTGTTTTTATAGAATAAGGGTGACAAACGAGCACATAGTCCACCTGATGGTAAGTGGATGCTGTGGCACATAGACATCTACATTTATCCTCGATTAAGTATCAAAACGCAGGTACGTTGTCACGCCTGAGGACTAAGATGGAATGCCTCGTAACCAGCAAAAAAGAGTCACCGGTCTCTACACTCACCATACGAAACACAGCAGTATTAAGCTACTATTTTACTCCGGTATTCTGTGAGAGCGTGGTCTTTCCCCGGCCGGCCCATTCGTGCTACAGCTAAATATAGCTGCAGCATGGCTCTAGTACGTATCAAAAATGTAAATGGTAAAAAGCTAAATAGCCAGTTGCTATCCTTATCTATACATGTAAATTGAATTTATGTGTATGTCTATTGCACTGAATTATCTGTCTTCTATTAATCTCACGGGTTATTTACGTGCATAAGATATACACCACAATTTAAAAAAGTTGTCTGGGATAATCTTTAGAAGGGCTGAACCGATTGTGATGAAACTTTAAAAACAGATTGATAATAATGTTAGGACATCCTAATGTTGTTATGTATGGGATAAAATATAGCCTAAAATACCTGGGCTATATTTTAACCTAAAAACTTTAACAATAAATAAACACGAAAAAAGTTGGTAAAAATTCAGATCCTATCCGGGCGAACACAGAGCGGATCGCTAGTGTATAATAGGTAACAATTTACATATATTACACACATATTTTTTATTATTTTTCAGGTGCCGTTATCCATCTCCCTAATTAAGAATGAATTAAAAACTAAAGAACACACATTTTTAAGCACAAGCGTCTGGTTCAAAAATGAAAAACTAAAGTAAATTTCAAGTTAGAAATTGTTACACGATTTACTGTTAATTATTTGCTAATTATAAACTACATTCTGATTCATTACCTTAAATTTTTTTGTACTAACTTGTTAGAATATTCGTGTATGCTCTAATCTTAGAACATATGCGTTGTTATATGTCATCTAAGTCATTTATTAGTATGATTATTCTGTTTGTAAGTTGATTTTTGAAATAAAAAATGATTCCCAAATATGTAGTTTCATTACTCAAAACAATACATAATAACTACATAAATTTTCACGCCTGTTATCCAAAGGGGACAGTAGAGACTACACTATGAACTTCTATTTGGCAAAATCATAACACACCTCTCTCGCTTCAATTGTGTCAATATTATCGAAGCATACGTTATGATCGGTTATGGGCGTTCTTTGCGTTAAGCGGGAACCCGCGGCACAGTTTAAATATAGGAACAGTTAGGAAACAACCTACAAACGCTTAAAACGGCACACTCACACAAACGTGCACAACTACGAGACTCCTAAGCGAACGTCGCGGTGCTCTCAGTAGCGAGTGCCGCGTTATCTCCGGGATCTTTAAAAAAAAAATGCCACGAATGTATTGCTTAGGATACGGCTGTTTAAACTCTGCTTTATCAGAACCGGAGCTATCGTATTTTAAACTTCCTGCTGATTTTGAAAGGTAAGAATTACTTATTGTTATTGTAATAATCCTTATCGAATTATAAGTACGTGTGATCGATCATAATGAATTCGTGAACTTATGCAATAGTGTAACAAAACGTAAATCCAAGATAGCGGCTGCAATAATTATCAACTGTTACATCATGGGTGACGTTTTTTATTGATAAATATTTTGTAGTTGATTTAAAATTCTCAGAATCTAGAACATATTAAGTTTAATTGTAAGCCTTAAGGGCATGGAATGTCATACCGCACCAAACATGAGGTAGTAAACGAGAGCAAAATTTGCTTCTCTGTACCAGGCTTTATTGAATTCTCAAAAAATATTTACCGAATATTTGAATTTAAATTAAGCTTACCGTTAATTTCACAGTACGAATAAAATCAGGTTCGATCCCTGCTGAAACAAACGACATTGTTGCTAGTTGCATTTATAAGTTTTTTTTAATTGAAGCGCTAATTGATTGAAGGAACAGTTCACCTAATAGAAAGTATGGACACCTGCAACCTGCAAAATCTGTTTTACCCAACTTCTGAAATCTAATAAAATGCTATTTACCATGTTAGTGTTTACATGCTAAAGAGTATTTCTTTGACTTTTTACCTAGGAGTCTCTCTAGTCTCTCTAGGAGTCTGCCGCCAAATATTTATTTTTATTTTATTTATTTATTTAATCTTTATTATGCACCTTATACTAAGCGATATAAAGGGCGGACTTATTGCCTTATGGCAGTCTCTGCCAGTCAACTTTGGATGATAAAAATAATAATAAATAGTATTACATAAACTTCCGTTTCCGGTCTGAAGAGTGTAGAAAGGCAGTATAATTACAGACTGTAAGGCATTCCGTCTTAATCCTTAGAGGTGACAACGCATATGAAGTCTTCTTTGAAGTTGGTTGCAGTTGTCCATGGAATACAGTAGCCATCAGTAAAACAGTAAAAACTTTTAGCTGTCTTCAAAAAAGAAGGAGGTACTCAATATGACTTTATTTTTAATTGTGTTACCTCAGAACTTTTTCTAGGTGAACCGCTTTTGATGATTTTTTTTTATATTTGAAAACCAGTGCTTCTCATGTGGTTCGCATAAATTCGATCAAGATCTGACCAGTAGGTAATTTGAGCTATCCTTAATAGTACACATTTAATTAACTTCGACTACATTGATGATGTTATCATTTTATTTATGTAGAAGTCGGTTGTACAAATGTTTTAATTTTACCGCTTGTGTAAATTTAGTTTTATAAAAAAATACACATAACACCTATAACATACATTTACAGCACATATGTAACATATATAAACGGCACACCAATGGATGTTTTGCTGTTTGGAAATAATTTTACGTAAGAGGATGGGGGGGGGGTACTAGTTAGTAGAAGTTAGAAGTAACCCCCACCATGCGGTTGAAATTATTTTATAAAAATATTCTTACACTTTGATTTTATGCTATATTATGAAGATGTTTTACATACATAAATTGCACACGGGTAACCATCTAGACCCGAGACAAATATATGTTTGTGGAACATGCAAACACTTTAGCATTTTGTAAGGTAGTATAAAAATATCTACTACCCCATTACTACCCCATATCGTCCCCTTGTTGTTGT